CCCCCCCCCCCCCCCCCCCCCCCCCCCCCCCCCCCCCCCACACACACACACAGCAGCAGAAGAAGAACGTGCAACACACACTGACACAGCGTGGGACAAAGGCCAGGAGACAGAACCTCCACAGAAGAGATGAGAACACAACACACCAAACAAGAGTATTAGTTGACAAAGACTCCGACTTACGATCATAGTTTCTACCTGGATGAATTCATGGAGGGACACATCGTGTGTTTCCTTGAACTCTTTACGAATGTTGAAAAGGTCGACCTCGCTTCGGGACACCATGATGCGGATCAGCGCTCTGTCGTCCGTACCAAGGCCCTGCAGCCGAGATCAATAGATCATTTGTTTATCCTCATTAACTTACAGTGACTACTACTGTCTGAGAGCACTCAGCAGCATTGATACCAAGAAAGCACACAGAGGAGAGAAGACACAACCTAAATACATTGCACGCATCAGCGAGACCTGGATGACGTGCTGCAGACCTGCGGCCAGAATTATACAACTGCACAAACTTGCCAAATTTAAAGCATTATGAATAAATACCTTCATGGCTTTGTAAAGACGATCTGCTAAATAAGAGGGCTGGTTCTTTACACTGCGAACTACAAAGCAAAGAGAGAGAAAGAAAATGCTGAGGAGGAGTCACAGAATATATTGTGTCAGCAGTATACACTGTGACACTTTCAAAAGGTCAAAGACAAAGATTACCTATTGCATAAAATGCATTCTTGACATCTCCAGACATCTCCTTCTTGATAATCTGTTCAATGTCCTTGTTGGAGTATCTCACAAACTCCTGGAATACTGTGAATAGAAAGCACTGGGATCAGTTATCATGACATAGGTAATCATTTAGTTAGGGAAATTTCATTTAGATTTGTAATAAAGTGATCGCTGAGATCTCGTGACCTTTACCTTTCCTAAGATGGGGGAAGCTTCTGGTGCACAGAATACTCATGAACTTCATCTCCATGTCGTCAGAGTCGGCGTTACATGCATCAGCAAGTTCCTGATAAGTTCAGGAGGAACAAATATTCAAACCCATTCTTCCGTTACATATACAGTAAGATGTTACAGTAAAACATCATAGACTGAGTCACCTGAGCATCTGCAATAGCTCTTTCCTCATCTGCAGGGCCCTCTTCTCTTGCACCCTGAACAGAGTAAAGACGGTTGAATGCTACTTAACCATCAGTGGTTCACCAAGAACATTTTGTTTTTTCTTTATTATTTTACAACGACGTTGTGAAAGAAAACTGTGCATGTGATTAAATTCACATTTTTTGTTCTCTGCTACAGTTAGCAGACAGACTGCAACCAGTGAGTGGGTGTGGAAACAAAACACAGTCTAAGTTCTCAAGATGAGGATGATGATTACCTGCACAAGAGAAACAAGGATGCGGCAGAAGTGGCCTGATGTGTCTGAATGAATGGATTCCTCCAAAGACTTCTTATAGGCTGTGATGTAAAAGGTTTGCATGTAAAAGGATTCCAGTCCAAGTGAGTGCTTTTAACATATTTTTTTGGGGGTATTAAACTCACCACCCTGATAAGCAGCATTCATGGCAAGTATTTCCTCATTGCTCCTGGTGACCAGGATCTCAATCAGAGCGTGTTCATCTGTCCCAGCCCCCTGTTCAAAACAATTAAAGAGTTTAAAGCACAAAAAGGCAGGGGGGTTTCACAAATGCAACAGCGACAAAACAACAAACCACATGAACATGAACCACACCACACAGTGAGGAAGAGAGTTCGTGTGAACCGTGCCTCCCTATATTTACTGACAAAATCCAAGTTTTGTAATCCCTGTTTGATTTTTCCTATTTTCAACATCACAGACCCTCCTGATAACGATCTGTATCGATCATCTCATGCCTATGAATAAGCCAGGAAGTAAAATAGGCTGAACTCTTTGAAGCCTAAATAGCGCAGTGGACAAGTGCTTGTGTGACCACTCAAGACATAAATGCAGCAAACAGTCTATTTTGATTGTATGCTGTCAAATAAGCAATTTATTAAATTGCACTGCATCAAAATGTACACAATAGGGACATGCATTTAAAATTTCTGCACTCAGTTCCTGTGTGTTCAGAGTGAAGGATGAGTTAGGTTTCTACACAAGGCTATTCAGTCAGTGTCTGATAAGTAACACACACGTAAAATGCAAAGATATTTGACTTTTAAATATATTCTGTGTAACTGCCATGACATTCAAGCAGTAGCTATAGCACAGACTTGGAAAATAGTGAAGTTATGAAGGAGTAAATTCCACTAATGAGTTCCTGTTTTTACTACACATGCACTGTAAATTAACCATGTCATCAAAGACAAATCATTCGGTGATTTGGATCTACTGTACCTCTATTGCCTTCCTCATCATTTTGGCATCAAACTCTGCAGGCTTCAACATGAGCCCAATGATCAGCCTCTCTAAGTTCTTTGACAGCTCAGACTTCAGGTCCTTCAGCAGATCCTGAGGACAGATGATCAAACACACTGAGTTACAGCAAACAGCTTGAAGCGAATGCTAGATGTTAAGTCTGACATGTTGAGTTTAACACATCCAGTGGTGTACATGTGCATCAAAACGCGAAAAGGTGAGACATAATTTGTTTTGAGGTTTAGGTTTGCAATAATTGATTTCACTCACCCGTCCCAGTTGGGATTTGAAGGCCTGTCTGATCTCTTGCCTCTGAGCGTTGCTTCTCTGTGCAACAATGTCAATGATTGCATCTTCGTCTGTTCCTGTAGGCAGCAACAGGCAGTTACATTCGTAAAAACTTGCTTTGTAAAATTGTAGCGGTGTAAATGTGCTTTTACGGGTTGCATACCGAATCCCTTCATAGCCTTCCTCAGCGCTTGTGCATCAGCAGCAGGGTCAAAACTGGGTGCAGGGCGCACTGTTGACCTTAGCTAAGGTAGTGGGATGACACGATTAGAAGAGGAGATTCAATAATTACACACACACATAATGTGGAATGGAAAGTGAGACAGTTTCACTTGATAAATATAAAAAAAAAATAAATTTAATGCACCAGATGTGTAATTATTTATTATTAAAGCAGTAAACATGCAGAACTATACAACAGAAAAGAGTTTGTTGAGGGGGGTGTGCCCTCTTGAGGTTAGAAGCCATGACATCACCAACAATGGGAAAGGTGGGTAGGCTGAAGAACAACTGAGTTTTATAGAGCGTTAGTGAGACGAGCTTTTGTTGACCAAAATGCTCAAAATCTTTTTGACATTCACTCCAAGGACAAAGCGAGGCAAACGGTGGTTTTGAGAGCGCATTATAACAAAAAAAGATTTGTTTTGGAGTGCACAGCATTCTGATCCTATCCGCAGTTACACAAAGCCCTCGCTGTGTAGACATGGCAGCGTTATCAGCACCAAGTCGGTAGCATTGCAAGAAGCAGGGTCATTGCAGGGCCAGCAGGTAATTAGGATGCATGCCACTGCCAAGCCAAACCAAACATGCAAT